CTACATCCATATCTCCAAACACAACAGTAATTTTTCTGCCATTATATCTGCCCTCTCTGCAGCATTCAAGACAGTTAACAAGGCAGTTGGCTACTCACACTTTCTTGAAAATCTTTCTTGCTTGACTTCTCTGCTTTTCTCTCTGTTTCACTGCCTGTTCTATCTTGCCACAGTTTGCTGGGCATTGATAATCCCTGATGTACATACAAAGTATCTGGAATTAGAGGTACAGTAAAAATTATAGGAAATAATAAACTTAAAAGGAGGTAGCATTATATATAGATAGTGGGGCTCAGGTAGTGATCTGAAATAGTCCTAGACTTCAGATTGGACAAAGCTTATTTCACACACAAAAAAAGTATACTTTAATAGGGTTTGATTTAAATGATAATGATGCTAAATTATATAGCATCCCTCACTGGAGTGGTCTGTGTTCTTATCTGCATGAGAGAAAAGGGCAGGTGGAATATGGTTCAACACTTACAGTGCATCTTCATTTGGGTGAAATGCAGCAGATGAGAGGGAAAAAAATGCTCTCAGGAGGGAAGATAGCAGTTTCAGGCTGCCTCATGTTGTCTTACCAGATGCACCCAAAGACTCTGAGTTCTTGCAATGCAGTGGACACACAGAGAAGTGTCCTTCCTTGCCCCCACCACTGCACACAACCACCCCCTCTGTGAAGCTTGCCTCTCAAGTTCTTTCTGCTGTGACCCTGTCAACCCTTTTCTCCTCCTTCTTCCAGAGTCCAAGAGTCTGTTTTCTTATTCAGCTAAAACATTTACCCAAAAACTATTCAGTGTGGCCACATGGGAACACTTTAGGGCCCAGGAGGCTCAGGGAACCTCACAGCCTTCCGTATGGTCACTTACGGAAGGTTCTATGCTAGGTGTTGTGAAGACACCAAAGTGATGCAGAAACAACCCTTTTCCTGGAGAACATAACCACGTAACTGGTCTTTTATAGGTATTTGTCCAGACAAATATCTATAAAAAGGAGAATAGCAATGCAAGAATACTTCAACGAAACTTCATAGACTGTGAGTGTCCAGGGCAGAGGGATGAGCCGGGGTGCCACATGGACAGAGGGGACGAAGGAAAGCTCCACTGAAAGATGGCGCTTGAGCTGGACTTGGAGGGGTCCATAGGTTTTATACACATGGTGAGAAAGGAGAAGGTGCAGGTGACAAAGACAGGGTCTGGGCTGACTGCTGCTTCCACATCTATCCAAACAGCTCGTCTCCTCATCATACTGGCCACACTCAGCCACCTTCATTTCCCGGAGAGAAGGGTCATGGCTCCCTCCACATGAGATCCAAATGTCAACACTGCGGGATCAGGGAGGGTGTAAGTCCAAGAGTGGCCTGTAGCTGGTCTCCTAACCATGATAAAACTGGATCTCCCTTCTCTAATTTTTCTTCTCTCTCATAACTTTCCTTGGTGTGCCTACTGCCATATCCTCTCTGTAACACTGTTCTGGTGGAAGACACATGTTTCATATTAGAACTCATCAGAAGAATCCTCTGTTTGTCACTGCTCTGGAACCCCAAATATGCTTTTATAAGCTTGTATATAAGATGGGATTACAAAGTTTAAAGCAAAAGAGAAAGCTAAAAAATAATTAACCACTGACACATCATGGGTAATACCCAATCAGAATGGACTCTAGCTGTAGTAATATATACTGGCTGCATATTGGACCTGTCAGGGCAGACACAGCTCAGCCCCAGTTTCCACTCCGATTCTGCAAAGACACAGTATCAGATGCTGGTTGTTTGGGATGCCATGGCTGTACACATCAGTCTGTAAAAAAAATAAAATAAAATAAAATTCAGCCAAGTAAATTTGAAGATCTAACGGCTTTATTAAATAGTTCATGAATTGGGCAGCACCACATCTAGCAAGTAGAAAGGAGCTCCAAGGACCTGGACCAAATGGAAAGTCTTTATAGGAAGGAAGGTGGGGCAAGAAGTTACTAGAAAAAGAAAAGGTTGTTTCAGACAAGGTCACTTTCTCTGAGGGGGAAGGGCAGGGGGTCTTATTAGGTGGATTACCTCATCTTCCTTTGAGGGATGGAGAGGGCCCATGTGACAGATTACCTCATTGGTGCTGACCAGAAAATTCCTGACTGACTGATTAAGCGATGTTTACACTAAAAAAAAAAAAAAAAAAAAAGACTACATTTCAGGGAGGGGGGTGTTGAAACTGCAATTAGGTTGGATATTAAGTTTGGTGACGCAGCCTAGCATAAGTGATCCCATTTTGGACCTGTGGTTTTCCTTTTTGACAGAGCCAGTAGAGACGGGTTTCTCCAGAGCACTCAGAGCACTTGCTACCCCACCTCTTGCTCCTGAAGTTAATTTCTTGTCTGCAGGCTTTCAGTTAGTCTAGACATCTCAATGCCCAGTTAACACTCCACTCCATGTCCAGTTTCCCCTCTAGAGCACAAGAAGAGATGTTAAAGCTATTCTCTTCACTTCTCTTATGATGGCCTGGAATAGAAACTCCAGCCCCCCCCTTCGATTGTCTACACATCATTTCCACAGGCGGCTCCACTTACAGTGACTCCATCCCCAAAGACCTCCTTCCATACACTTTCCCCACTTTTGCCACCATCCAGTTCTGTTGGCTATTTCACAGATGTGTATGTGTGTGTCTAATAACTTCCCCAAGATGACTTCTTATGAGGAATTGAGTCGATTACGTCTGGGATTCTCCACATTTCTGTTAATGTTCAGGGATTACCATAAAGGTTGAAACTTTAGAGCCAGCCTTCCCTCCCCACCCCATTTCACCCTACACTGTAGGTGCACGCACAATGGGAAACTTTGCTTTCCAGGTACACACAGTCCTAATTAAATTTCTTCCTGTGGGGTTGCAATAACCAAGTCCACTCTGAACGATTGCTTCATGGGGGTGAAAAAATACCTTTGAGCTAATCTAGGCCTTGAACTGAAACCACACATTGTCGTATTGAGGTTAGTTTATAGCTTGCCAAAGTCTACTTCCAGGTTCAAGGAAGAATGTTTTTAAAGTACCATGAAAAAGTTCATAAGACTTCTTGAACATCAAGTAAGTCTTACAACACAAGGTTCTGAGGAGTTACTGTAATCGCAAATGAACCAGAAACAGAGGGACTACATTTCTTCTACAATACACAAGGGATTAAAAATTTAGAGAAAAAAGTGATTGGCCAAATACAATTTGCCAAAGGCCAGCCATTTGGAAAAATCATATGGAGTACGTGCCACATCCAAAGTGTAGCCAGGTCAGCTGCAAGATGCTCTTTGGAAATCCAGGGCTGAATGGCAGATGCAGGTGGGGCCTGGGCCTATAGTGGAAAAATTCTGGAACACAGATGGAAACCAAGAACAGGGGGAGGGAGAGGAAAGAAGTGGAGAGGGTAGGATAGAGTGGTGGAATGCTTTAGAGAAGGCCCCAGAGGAGAAAGTGCGACAGAGACAGCTGACTTTGTAGAAGCACTGGGAGAGTAGAAGCCCCACCTCCCCATCCCACAATGCCCCCCACCTGCCAGAGGTGAGAAAGAGCTTGTGCCTTGAAAGGGTCTCCTAGCCTAGAGCCTACAGATGGGCTGGGCATGCAGGCGTGTGTGTAAATATAGTGACTGATTATAAGATGTTTGGTTGGGGAGACTTGCCTTAAAAAGTGGACAGAATAATTTTTATTTATTTTATTCATTTTTGAATAAAAATGAATTCAGACAAAATGAATGTCGGATATAAAATATGGAAAAATGATTTTTTTCAAGCTTTTCTCCAAGCTAAAGCACACACCGGCACGAACACACACACAATTTTCGGAAGCAAGATTTACAGGAAGAAGAAATCATTGAATTTGGGCGCCTGGGTGGCTCAGTTGGTTGAGCGACTGCCTTCGGCTCAGGTCATGATCCTGGAGTCCCTGGATCGAGTCCCGCATCGGGGTCCCTGCTCGGCAGGGAGTCTGCTTCTCCCTCTGACCCTCCCCCCTCTCATGTACTCGCTCTCTCTCATTCTCTCTCTCTCAAATAAATAAATAAAATCTTTAAAAAAAAAAAAGAAATCATTGAATTTTATTGACGACATTAGAGCCAAGGGGGTTAGCCCAAGAGCAAGGGAAACAAGAGGAGCCTGATCCACCTCTAGGAAGAAGTGGCTTAGTGCACGCTTTGCTATCTCAACTGGTAGAGTGGAAGACTGTAGACTAGATATGTGTAGTAAAAAGTGGCTTAAAGTCCAAGCCAGGTTACTGCAGAATTTGGAAGTAGGCAGGACTTCCCTTTGCCTTTCTTCAGGCCTTCCTTCCCCTCACAGATAGAATGGCAAGAAATTCTCAGGTTAAGGCCAACCTGCCTGCTTCTCTTGGGCTACCTCTTCTCTGGCTTCTTATTGACTCTCAGCCCTTTAGCGCCCAGGACAACAACTAGATAAAAAAGCAAACTTATGGGGATCCACTCGAACCACATGCCAACAAGCACCTATATGTATTCAGCTTTTTAAAGCGCCACACACACCTTAGCCTCACAATATCCATGTCATGGGTATGTGCCAGTCCCTTCATCTCACAGAGAATAAACACTTGTAGAACTTGGAAGAGTGGACAAACAGAAGAAAGTAAAAGAGTAACATCAGCTCTATTCACAGGAATGGTGGATAAATAAGAAACAAATGAGATGGTCACTTCCTGAACATTTTGCAGTGACTGCCCTTCTGCAATTCATTTTTGGCACAGATTTCAGAATCTCTGAGGCCACTGTATTTGGATTACATTTTATAATGTCATAACCTTATAATTGGTATATTGAACATGCTCTTGCTTTTCTTCTGCTCTGCCTAGCAGCAGAGTTTGGACAAGGGAAATATAGATAAGAAACTATTAATTATCTGCCACAAAGGAAAAAAAAAAGGCTACTTATCTTTTGGGGCAAAATAGGTCTGCTGAGCACATATAAAAGTTATAACTATTTTTGCATAAAATAAATAGTCTCCTTTCTGTATTCTCTAGAAGGCGTGGTGAGTTGTCATTTATCTTCTACTCCCAGCTTGTGTTCTTGATCCTACTGTAACCCTTACAAGAGATGACAGCAAGATCAGCATTCTGTGGAGCTGAAAACTGGACCGTAGTTTGGTTGGAACAACAGTAAGTGTCCTTGAAAGCATCTCACTCTTGATGACTGTCTGGGTTATTATGATTCTCTGGTATTTGACATTTGGTATCAAGTCCAACTGGACAATGCCATATTTGGGAAATGGTCATCTATCTCATGTCAGTCCCCCAGTTGCTCCAAAGCCCCAGTCACCTGGTAGGCCTGCAAGTCCCAGGGACTTCTCAGCCCTGACTGAGCACGGTACACTTCAGGGGGTCCCACTTCCAACCTGTTCTTATTTGTCAAGCTCCAAACCTGGAGAAAGAGAAGCCAGGAGATGGCACTTCTACCTGATTCACCCGCCTTGGTCAAGTTGACACAACAATAGTGAACTTCTGCTTTCTTTGAAGACAGGTGCATACCAGGATATGTCCTTAGAACTCCTCTCCCAGCTTATCCAAATGAAGTAATATTGGAGACAGCAAATTTGAGAGCAGATTTATCTATGCAGATTCACAGCCCTGGAGATTTAGGGGAGGTTGCAGCATTTTTTTTGCCCTGTCCAGGCAGAGAGACTTGGGAGGGAGGGGAGTCATACTGGCCACTTGAACATCCAGAAGAAGAAATAAAGTGCATAAACTTGAAGATGCAAAGGAAACTGTTCTCATTCCCCACCCCCCCAAAATAGCTAATCACAGAAGAGTTTTACAAAATTGTCCAAGAGCTGGGGCGCCTGGTGGCTCAGTCAGTTAAGCATCTGCCTTCAGCTCAGGCCATGATCTCAGAGTCCTGGGATTGAGGCCTACATCGGGCTCTTTCTCAGCGGGGAGTCTTCTTCTCCCTCTCAGTCTCCCTCTGTTCTCTCTCGCTCGCAAATAAATAAAATCTTTAAAAAAATTGTCCAGGAGCGTGCTTAAAGAATGATAGATTTAATGTTTGCTGTCTTCGGCTTAGAAGTTTCTCAGAATCTCCCTATAGCCCTTCTTGATACATAGTGTGCATTCTAAAGGGTGCAGGGAGGGGTGGATTGCAATTTGGCATGATCTTCCTTACATGTAAATCCTTAAACTAAAGGGAAAGCTGGACAATACACTCAGACAGACTATAGGAAAGGAAATAAAGGGGAAAAAAATCATCTGTTAATGTCAATAAAACTCTGGCTTAATTTGGTATAACCATGCTGTGCCTAATTAAAGCACACACTAGATAATGAAGAAGTGCTTGCCTAAAAAGGCTTTCAGTGAATGTAGTAAACAATAATCGGCTTTGCTTTATTATCATAAATGTTGCTGCTAATAACACTAGCCCTTGAAATCAGAGAACATCTAAGACTGCCCCTCTTGCTCTGTTTTGCCACATGTGGTTGGACCATTTAGTCACAGATATAAGATGAAGGCTATTTATAGATACCATTTTCCTGGTAGGGTAATGAAGAATGGGTAAAGTAGTGAGTGACCTTGATAAATGAAGAAAAGGAGGGGGGCGGAATGAATGACTCTCTCCAGGGTATTCCCAGAGCTCTGGCCTTGAAAGAAGGAGCAAAGCAGGAATGTCAGGCAGCATGGGCAGGAGGGTGAAGGTGGCAGGGAGGGGAGCTGAACCTGCCCCATATTCAGACCAGAGAGAATGCCGTGGGACACAGACTAAGGAAAAACCAGAAGATCAGAAAAGGGAGGAAAGGCACAGTCCTTCCTGCTGCAGCCCTTTATGGGGTAGGATGCCAAGCCAGGAGCCAGCCACAAGGACAAGTAGCATGCTTCCTGCTGGCCACTGTGCCCGGCTCCCAAGCTTACCAAGGCTAGCTCCCAAAAGCCTCTATGGAGCCCGTCAGGCCATCCTACCCCAGCTCTAATCCTCCAGGTTTCCCACTCACCTTCCTGATTTTCTGCTTGGCTGCATTTTGAAGGACCAGTAGAAGTTTATCAAACAAGTGCTGAAGTAGTCATTGTGATTAGAGGAAACCATGTGGTCAAAGAAACTAATGAGGCAGTGTGTTCCAGGAGCCACGGGTGTGTGGTATCTCTGGTGTCCAGAATGGGTGAGGCATAAGGGCAGAGGATAGGGCAGTGTGTGCCAGTTTAGGAAAATGTGAAAATCATCAAATTAGGGGAATGTCACCTGGCCAGACTTCTGCTTTAAGAAGACCAGCTTAGGGGCAGCTGGGTGGCTCCATCGGTTGTGTCCAGCTCGTGATTTCTACTCAGGTCATGATCTCAGGGTCATGTGAGATCGAGCCCTGCTTCTGGCTTCGAGCTGGGTGTGGAGCCTGCTTAAGATTCTCTCTTCCGGGGCACCTGGGTGGCTCAGTTGTTAAGCGTCTACCTTTGTTCCGCTCAGGTCATGATCCCAGGGTCCTGGAATCGAGCCCCGCATCAGGCTCCCTGCTCAGCAGGAAGCCTGCTTCTCCCTCTCTCAGTCCCCCTGCTTGTGTTCCCTCTCTCACTGTGTCTCTCTCTGTCAAATAAATAAAATATTTAAAAAAATAAAAAAATAAAGATTCTCTCTTCCTGTCCCTCTGCCCCTCCCCTGCTGGCACCGCCCCCCTCTCTCTCTCTAAAAGAAAAAAGGAGGAAAAAAAAAAAAGAAGAAGACCAGCTTAACTACAGTCTGGAGGACAGTCAGCGGCCTACCCAGATTTTGGATGTGGCTGAAGATTATAGAGTTTGGAGAGCTCCCATTAAACAAAAGAATTTAAATAATTAGGTAGAAATGCAAAAATGTATTTAGAATGAGAAAATAAACCAAAACTAAAGAAAAAATTTAGAATGGTAATAAACACCACAAACACAGGTTGAAAACCTGGAAATTCCAATAAATTTATTTTGTAGAATTCTCATCGAGAGAGAGAGAGAGAAAGTATGGTACCTTTATAATCAAATACACAGCATGACCTACTATACTCCCCAAAGGAGAGAACTTCTGTTGTGATTAGTTGTTGAAAACAAAATCTTCTGTTTACAATTTTATATATCTGACATTTGGAAGACTCTTCCACAGACTAGCTCCTGCTTTGTACATTTCAAACTTTGCTTCTCATTGAGTACTGTGGTGTTGGACACCATAGGACACGCCCGTCATGATGTGAGTGCTGGCCTTCTGCTTGGAGTCACAGACAGAACTGGGTGCATTGCTGCAGTGGGCCAAAGGAATATTCCTAGAAGTCATTCCTACACCAGGATGGCTTGCAATAACCTCGCTGCATTCAGAAACAGATGCCACCCACAGGAGCATCCTCTATGAAACCCGAACCAAATGTATTCCCAGCTCGACTTCCCTTTAGCTAGAGCCCCCCAATTGCCCATGACTATGCTAACACTCCAACAGTGGAGGTGGGGGAATCTGGGATGGAAAGAGAAAACAGTTTCAACCAATTATGGTTAAATATATCATATTTTTAATACATTTAATATGTATATATAATATTTTAATACACATATGTATATATGTATTAACACATTGTTAGGGCTCCTCTGTCTCTCGGCAAGGGCAAGGCGCTGAAGCTGAAGCCTATCTGTGTTCACTAGCTACAAGGCGCATCCTCCTCTGAGGGTAGTGAATGTGGTCTGGACCCATGGAAGACACCCTCTGGAGTGATGGTGAATGATCCAAGGCAGAGAACAGATGTGAATGGCAATGGGCAGGTAGAACAAGAGAGACATGACAATGATTCGACGTGGGAGATGCCAGAGAAGAGAGTGTGGCACCATCTGGTCTGGTGCTTGCCCCTCTCGACTTGTCCAGAAAATTCATCAACACCCAATTATGACGTGCCAGGCAGAGTTCGCTGCCGAGCAGAGCGGGGTATGTCCCCAGCACACCGGCAGCTTTTGCCAACCTCAGCCACAGCGTCTGTTTCTGGGGCCACTTAGCAAGTATGGGAGCTTTCTCTCTGTTCCCGTGAGAGAGGCCACCCAGTAAGATGTGTCTAGATCTGTTGCCATCCAGGACACACCCATCTGCCGGCTCTTTGTGATGCAAGGTATAATTTTTCCCCCAACCTAGCCAAATCCCAGTCTCATACCTAACTTCAATTTGCAGGGGCCAAATGAGCATGACACAGTTTTACGTTTTTGAAATACCTTTAGTCTGATTTCCCACTCTGGAACACCCCCCTCTGGCCCCGGTTAGTAAAAACACAAGCTGAATACAGACAGGAAGGAGAAAATCCATCCACTAGCCCCTGCACATGATCCTGGTACGCTGGAGGGATATGGGAAAGCATTTTTCCATCATGATAAGCTACACTACTGAGGGTTCTATGCCCCTGAGAACACGGAAGCCAACAATCGGGGAAACCCCACTGAAAATTTTCGATAGGCGATACAGGGATGACTCCCACAGGCACTCAATCTTTGCACAAAGTCTACGGCAAACATGCTCTTTTCACAAGAAGACTTCGCTGCTTCTCAAATAATCCCCAGAGGAGACTTGCTGGATGTCCCATAATGAATAAAACTGCTGATAGGGATGGAAAAAGTTTATGAAGGATTTTTAAACCCAAAATACCATATGTAGAGTCAGAACATTTTATTTATACCTTTGCCTGATGCTTCGCCCACGCACACAGGATTAAGGAAGAAATATATGACCGACCGCCTGCTTGGCCCAGAAGTCTCTCAGGCAGTCCCCGCTGGTCTGAAGGGAGCGCCGCTGACCCAGGGCCAAACGTCGATCTGTAGCACAAAACTCCTTTTCAAGTTGGAAGGGAAAGTAAGAGAGAATAAAATCTTCAATAGTAAACATCATCCCATATATTTTGTTTTTGTTTCAGTCTACAAATAAAAATAAGCCTAAGTGGCCTCTTCTGGCGTAAGATTACAGGTTAAAAAATAAATCCACAAACTATTATATAATAAGAAGATAAGGATAATTAAGAATAATATATTTCTTTTTAAAAACCTTGACAGATAACCTTTAAGATGTTCTGAGGGTTGTGTTCAGGCCACACACATGATGGGCAATATTTTTTCTTCCCTTTTTATAAAAAAGAGAGAGAGAGAGCTAATTTTGCTTAAAATAGAAGGAGGTCTATGGGTCTTGCATTGAAGCATTTTTTCTAATCACACAAAATTATCTCTGACTATTTCAAGGAAATAAAACAAAAGCCAAATGGACAGTGGCATGTATACACATACAGTGGTAATGCATGTGGACAAAGAGAAGTTGCTCGGGGGCCCTCCATGGAAACAAAATCTTATGTTCTGTCCTTCTGTGATTCCAGAGCCTGTGTGGAAACGAAGCCTTGACAGGGACCACAAAATCTACTAGGTGCCAAGCTAGGTTTCATTTACCCTTCCTTCCCCACGGGAGGCCATATGCAACTCTGACCCCAGCAATTGTCATCCCTTCAATCCCCTCTTCCACAGGGATGGAAAGAGAATGAAGGAGCCCCACTCAGTCTGCCTGTAGGAACAAGGAAAAGAGTGTCCTTCTCAGGAGCATTCCCCTTCACGGAGACTGGTGTGGAGGGAGCAGAAAATGTCTGGCCCTTAGAATCTCACCTTCCTTCCGTGTGGCCCTGCCTGTGGGGCAAAGCATGCTTGGAATGAGAGGGAGGGGAGAAGGGGAGACCCTTGCCTACTGGGAGCCCAGCAACATCACGGCCTTTTATCGGATGTGACTCCCCTGGTTTTCACCACAACCGTGCGGGGTGGGTACCGCATCAGCCCCGTCAGTGTGAAATAGATGGACTAGGTCACCCATGTGATGCTTCCTTCTATGTGTCAACTTGGCTGGGCTCTGCTATCCAGACCAATCTAGATGTTGCCATGACCGTGTTTTATAGACGTGGTTTAGCACTGACATCAAGAGATTTTGAGTAAAGCGGATTACCTGCCATTATGGGAGGGGGCCTCATCTAGCCAGTTGAGGGTCTTCAGAGGAGAGAGACTGAAGTCCCGGAGGAAGAGGGAATTCTGCCTGCAGGCTGCCTTCAGACTCAAGCAGCAGCCTCACCCTTGGGTCTCCAGCAGAAATCGGACGTGGCGGCCTCCACAATCACGGACGAGTAATTTCTTACAATAAATCTCAGTCTGTCCCTCTGCATTTCCCTCTCTGTCCCCCCCTTTCCTGTATATCTCCTACTGATCCCGGTTTTCTGGAGAAAGCTGACTAGCACACCTGCTGCTGCTGGGTCTAGTACAGGCCGCTGCTCTTCAAATGGCACCCGATCACCAGAAGGGTGATCGAATGCTGCATTTAATCCTCTTCCTCAATCACTCAGGACACACTTAAAAAGCATCTGCTATGTATTTAGTCCTGTATTAGGTTCTAGAAATCCCCCAGAACAACAGAAGCCTGGTCCCTGCCCTCCCAGAGCTTAGGCATGACTGCCAAGTGCGCGTGCAATTACAAGCAGCCGTTGAGGATGCCAAAGGAACAGGGAAGAGAGTCAGCAAATTGGTAGTTGGGAGATTAGGAAGGGCCTCCCAGAGGAAGTAGGTATCTGAGTGGAGACCCAGAGAATGAATTTGAAATCGCCAAATAAGATTATTCAGGCAGAACCAACTGTGCGTGCAGATTCAGAGGTAAGAGGGCGAGAAATGGAAGGTGGCCCAGAAGCCAGGAGCAGAGATGGGCCGACCCTCCTTCTGCAGCCTGCAAGGCCTGTGAGGGCTTTAGACTTTACCCGGTTGGTAAGTGGCAACATGGACGCTCTTTCTATAGAGTCAGTGTTAAAGACAACTGAATGTGGCTTAGGGTAAGATTGAGGGAGGGGACACCAACCAGGTGGAGGTGACAGTGGGCGCAGGTGAGATTGAGAGCAGTAAACTCAGCCAGACCTGGTGATTGGATTACTGGACTGCGGACAAGGACCGGGCGTCAGAGGGAAAGATGAGCCTTTGGGGAATGAGGACACCAAATGAAATCTGAGTTTATAGTGTTAGAGATTTCTACATGACACCAGGAGACAGATGCCCAGCAATCCTTCCTTCATCTTCACTTCTCTCTCCTGGTCCTCTCGTTCCTAAATCCTGCCCCCAAGTCGCTGCGGGCAGCATTGCTGCGCACGCGCGCGCGCGTACACACGCACACACAGGATGCCAAGAGGATTGAATCCCCTTTGGCCTGAGAAGAAGCAGCGCTAGGATACCTACCAAGTCCTAAATCTCCACCTGCTGAATGCAAATGAACTCTTCTCCCAAATCTTCAGCTTTCGCTTTGGCTGAAGATTTAGTCAGCTGGGACGTCCATATTACACAGAAATACACATACAGGATCTCCCTGCCTCAATTTGACTCGAGAGTGCTCCTGAGGGGGCCCAAAGCCCAGGCAGGTCCCTCCCACACAGGGCTGAAGGCGGGGACTAAGAAACCCACCACCTGCAGCACGGATCTGTCAGTGGCCCAGCATGGCCCGGAGAGCAAGAGAATGAGAATCCCTGACCCAGCGGCTTCTGGCTCTCCGCTCCCTACTGGCCTGTGCCTACCACCGAGCACAGGGTTTCACCCCTGCAATCTGCATCACGCTCCCAGAACCTACAGGCCCCCTCCCGACTCCTGACGCAGGCTCAAGGACCAGGAGAGAACGTTGCCCTAAAGGATGACGGGGCTTGTTTGTGAAAGCCCCGGGCTGGGCTGGGTCTGAGCGCTTTGGGCAGTGGCCGAGGAAGCTGAGAAGCTCCTTGGGAAACGCGCAATGGGCTTCCCCCCGGGGCCCCAGACGCAGCGTTTGAACCCTCTTGGGGGCGTCCTCTGTGGACCCTTCTACCCAGGCTGCTTCTAAGGGGCGCTAATCCCGCTTCACCCATCAAGAGCGGTGGGGGTGTGCGCGCGCGCCTTACGGGGCAGGAGGGTGGTGACTGGAAAACACAAAGGGAGAGGAGAGCGCAAGGGAAGCATTTCCTCCTCCTTCCCCGCCACCTTCAATCGCAGCGAGGCATTCAGTGAGCTTCCAGCAGGGACTTAAAGGCGGGCAGCCGAGGCGTCTTTTTCTAATTGCAGGCGCGGAGCCCCTGCCGCTCCGGGTCGGTGGGCCTCGGCG